AAAAATATATAATATTTACAGAATAAAAAGTAGCCTATAATGATTATCTAGACAATAATATATTTATCTGCAAAATTTAAACCAAATCCTTTCAGCCGTTCTGATATGATTGAGCAACAAACTTTGACATTTACAACATTAGTAAAGGGCGCTACATACGGCTAAGATACTATAATATTTTATCTTAAGATACAATATCGCTCGCCATATTATCTCTATCTTACGATACGAAAATATTAAATAAATATTATCTTCGTCGTGTGTAAATGGTCCATTGAAGAGTATGGCGAGCGATATTGTATCTTAAGATAAAATATTATAGTATCTTAGCCGTGTGTAGCGCCCCTAAGATAATATTAGGATCGACAGCTGGTTTAAACAATTTTGGCTAAATGACATTTTTTTTGCAGAATGACTGTCCTTATCATAATTGTATAGTTGCATCATCGGTTGTGGGAACTTTTGTACGACTTGGGACTATATTTGACTTTTTTAACGCTATTACGTTAACTCCTGTCACGGCGTTTCATCTGTTAAAATGATAATTAGCTCTAAACAAAATTCATAACTTCATCTATAGGTTTCCCATGCACGTGGTCGATAGTGCACCAGAGCGTGCTCTGGGATGGTAAACAATAACTAAAAGCGAAACATGCAAATGTCACTTAGGTATCGGTCCATTCTGTGACTTGGAACAGCTGTAGCTTAATTACTTGAATACTTATAATAACATGCGGAATTTGTGTAAAAAGATACATTCTCGGACTAGATTCTGGATCTTTAGCTACCTACACTTATTTGTGATGTGCAAAATACGGATATATCAAGACACAAATATCACATCGAAAAGTGGACATATACATATATTATATGTAGGTTTAATTACATTAGATAATATTGTGTTACGTGAAAATAGTTTTATTTAAATATATATAAGTATATGTAAATTCATAGTCATATACATTTACTTCACTGATATTATTAGCTAAATAAAAAATAGATTACACTTTTCGTAATCTTTTATCAGATATTTAATAAGTTCATTAATTTTACTCTATTAAAACGATATTGTACAATTATAAATAAATCGTAAATATGAGTGTGAACATTTGCTTTTAACATGCTTATATTAGCTTGCGGACGGAATTAGCTAACGGAATCTTATGTAAGGAACGTGATATTGACCCACTTCAAAACGTCGGATTTAATTGAAACTTCTTACACTTATCAAGGATCTATTACAATATAATAATTTGATAAATTTGGGCGATTATCCTGACCAGAATCATCAGAATTCACGGTTTTTCCATATCTAAAAATACGGTAGTCTTTTGCTACGTACTAAGAAGCGTGTGCTGAAGCATATTTGACTTACTTGTTACTTTTTTAGTCATAAAAATAATCATCATTAACGACTAAAACATCAAAAATAAATTATACTTTGAAAAAAACAAAAAACCGCGCTTTTCTAACTAGCCGAACTAAAAAGTAGAAAATAATTTTCCATAAGTTCAGAAAGCAAAATAGTCGTATTGTTACAAAAGAGTGTTTTTTTAGTTTTTTAAGCTATAATTTATTTTACTTTAGTTAATTACTTAAATAATACTTAAGTTAACACATGTACCGCTTATCATTCGAAATATAAGTTATGTTATTTTAAATATATTAATGTTTGTTTGTTTGTTCGTTTGTTCAGGGTAAGATACAGGCGTACTCCGCACTTCGGTTTTATACCGTTTTATACCGAAGTATTGATACTACTCAGGAAAATAATGTTAAAAGTTGTGAATACTTGAAAAATAATATATTTCAGTACCAGTCATTTACAATGTTCCACGTTTCGAACTTAAGTCGCCAATCATTTTTTTTTGTCAACCGAACATAAAAGTTACTACTTATTATAAATTTGTAAAACCAATTCCAAAGCATACGTAAAATAATATATTAAAAATTATTAAATTTATAATGCAAAATAATGTCCAAGTTGACGCAACATGGATATTCAAATTTTAAACGCTAAATAATAATTTGTTCTATCATTGTTAACATCTATACTAGTCTATATTTAATATTATAAATGCGAAAGTGTGTCTGTCTGTCTGTTACCTATTCACCCTTAAACCGCTGACCCGATTTTGATGAAATTTGGTACAGAGGTAGTCCCGGGAAAGGACAGCATAGTTATATCCCAGAAATCCTTCTTTAAGAAGCTTAAAGGGTGCCCCCTTTAAGCTTCTGAAACAACTTCTATACTAGCATTATTATGTAATCTTTAGCATAGGTTACAATCTCAATATGGTTGATAATCAATCATAAATATAGGTTAATTAACTAACATACATCGTAACAATACGAAATACATGTTTAAGATACATACATTTAGATACAAATTCTAAAAAAAATAACTCCTAAATCTCTTTGTATCTGTAGATGTGGTGACTCAAAAGGGGAGTCACGATCACCACCGCTACTACCATAATGCTTACTGCAATGAAACTGCCCAAATTTCTATAACCAACTTTCATGAGGAGGGTGCCTGTTCTGGCTTCTTCCCACAATAGAATGCATCCTCTTGGAGATTCTCCAGTTTTTCTATTATTGACATATTCATATAATATGATATATTAATCAATGCAAGATGACAGATGTTTGCTACTAAAAACTATTGAAAGGGCAAGAACATGAGATAAGATGGCACGTACCTACACTGGCTATACAAGAAAATAATAGCGCAGCGTTGTATGCATATTCAGATTTTAAGTGTCCTATAGGGCGGAAGGTGAACAAAGCCTGTGTATTGTAATACGAATTACGATATAATAACAGATAATGAATTCAAATGACTAGAATAACAATTCAATTGCGAAGACAACATGATTAATGCCTCGGTTTCTTTATTATTATATTACATATTGTTATAATGTGATTTATCAAGAAACACGCATGCTACTAATAAATTTAAACTTATGTTTAAATCCTGAAGATACCTATAAACTTATATTAAATATACTGTTAAGAAACATGTCCAATCGGAATAATAGTCTACGAGCTATATTTCAAGCTTTAGTACTGCAGAGACAGTCCAAGACAATGTTTAGGGATTTGGTACTTATTTCGCATCAAATATATCAAATAATATGAGTTATTTTCCATCAACTAAAAAAATCACTGATTTGACCATTCAAACCTATAAGCACTTTTTTAATCATTAATGGTTATTTAGACTAATCATTAGGAAATGGTTAAGTTTTAGGGGCGGTGAGTTAAATACAAAAAAATAAAATTACTAAACTGTTTAATTAGTTAGTTTTGATGTGTTAAATAACCGTCTGAGTATTCTTAAGACATTTAAGTTATAAAAATAATGTAATTGGTATTAAAAAAATGTAAAATATATTTATGAAATTTAACAATTGTAAACGAGCGAACCCGTACATTTTGATAGTTATAGTTTTACGCTGACATCGACGCGCAGCGAACCTCATTTACAATGTATAAAATTAAGTGAACAATTAATAAACAGTAGTTGTTGCAATATTATTCCGGCTGACCTATTGGACCGAGAGGTGGCCGCAAAATTTCTAGGGTATCTATTATATTGATTATTGGTCCATAAACCATCATTCCTGATGGTGTTCATCAATGGAAATTTTGTGGCCGCTTCTCGGTCTATATCGCACCATTCGTGGCCGCATCAAAATTTAGCAATTCCGTTGTAAATCTGTTGTTTTCTTCTTCTATTTAATACTATACCAACCTGCCTGCAAGTGCTCGTTTTCTAAGTTTTTTTTTTCAATTTAAATACCTAATTCATGGAAAAGTAAAATACACAAAAGATACAATCATCGTAGCACAAGATTTTTTCTGAAACCTACATTCACTCTTCTCAATGTCGAATGTTTAAATTATATATTCATCATTTTTAAAAACTGAAATATGTTAAGTATTCAATTTTATTTATGTTTCAATAATAGTATCAAATTGGATCAACTATATTTTGTAAGTATGTGGGTAATACCGCGCATGAAATTGTATAAACATAAACTCAAAAATAGAAAAAAAAATAAATGATCTCAATACAATATAAAATAATCACAAAGTGTGATGTATATGGTTTAAGAAATAACTTTATTGTCTCAAAAGAATTTACAAAATTCACCTTACTGAGAAAACATTACATAAAAGTAAAACAAAAAATCATTGAGCGTTGAATATAATATAAAATAAAAGTGGGTAGTCAATAAGATAGTTTGCGTAAGCATTGCGAGAAGTTTGATGGTAAAGGTTACACTAACTATGACGTTACTAGGTTGCATAGAAACTTTAATTGTTAACTGTTATTATATGACGAAATTTCTTCCCAGAAAGTCAACTAAATACTCAGGCGAGCACATTTGAAAGCAAACCCGGCCAAACCATCTCCTCCTTTTATGACTAACATGATTGAAAAAAATGTGATTTTGATTGAATACTCTATAAACATAGGAAATCTGCAGCGCGATCTTAGAGAATTAGTAGGTATCTATCACCAAGTCTACATATTTGAGATATAAGCACACAGAGCACAATGTAGATAATTCATTTTATAGTCAAAATGGTTCAGAATAACATTATGGAGTCGTAGCCCTGTGAACTCTAAACTGTACCATGAATTTCTACCCACCGTTCCAACGACAATTCGTACCCACCTGGTTCCAACAACAATAATAAAAAGATAATTTTCTTTAATCGTCTACAATTATTTGCATGTTCTGATTCGCAAATGCATTCGAATAATTCTATATGTTGCTAAAAACTTATCAAAACCATCCCTAGAACCAATATCCCTTTTCTATCAGCGCCCTTTGCCCCTTCTTGCCTGCTATGCAATATTGCCTGCCATACCGTTCGCTTAAGATAGAAGAATTGTTGGTGAAAGGCAGTTTATTTATTGTACATCTTTTCATTATACAAAATTAAACCATAATTATGAAAAAAAGTATTTAAATTAAATAACTTACTCAGATTCCGCGCATAGTACCCTCATGAGGCCGCGTCCTCTCCACTCGCTGTGTGTTGAAGCGATTCTCACTTCAAGCACAGTGTCGCAGTCTTTTGGTAATTTCTCCCACATTTTAGCCTCACGGTCAAGGTAGCCTAGCACTCGGAGGATTTGCCTAAACTTAGGATTCGGACAGTCAGCCGATTTATCTGTGTAGTCAACTTCCTAGAAAGAAAATTCATCAATTAGCCTATAACATAATAAATGTTGAAATTCGCTATTTTCCATTAAACTAAATCTTTATAATTAATTAACTTTATACGATAATTCCTCAGTTTTTTTATATTGGTCTGTTCGAGTCATGGGTATGTAACACTGACCTATTCGAGCTCTTGCTTAGGTACACTCTTCGAAACATCCTTCTTATATCTATCTTTCTGTTTCAATATCCTCCTATCTTTAATTTCGAAAGATTGAAGAGGCTTGTCCCCTTACTCTATACGAGATCACTGACATTATAGATTGATAAAATCATACCCATTCAAAAATAGGCCTATACTAAAATAAAAATATATTTCTCATTGGTAGTTTACTAGGTAAACTACTAGCTAATCTACTACAAATATTTGTCATTTGTTTCAAATTCTAATATTGAGTAATTACTCGTCAAATCCATGATCTCAAATCAGATTTGGACTTGAAAAAAAAATCCAATCAAGGATTTTAAACAAACAAAGAAGAAGTTAATGTACCTATGTAAACTTATTTTTTTATTTACATACGTAAACTTCTTTTTATTTCATTTCCAAAATGGATAATTTTTTTTGTACAAAATTTAAACACACAATAAAAAAAGATAATTAGTTGATAATGTATGCATTAATTACTTATTTATTATTTAACGCCCAAGGTATTATTTTTTACTGTATTTTTTATCTTATACTTAAAAGTTCGTCTTGTGGTGGTATTGAAAAACAATATTTAAAAAATGTATCTACCTAAAATAGAGAAAAAGTAATAAAAAAGTTACGGATGAAATAAGATTTGTCTTGTTGTAAAGTCGAAGTATCTTGTAAAAATAAAAATCCATATTTCTAAACACTGTTGATAAACTGTGTGTCTAAAAAGGTCATGTGAAAAAGATTGTAAATGTTTTATTTTTATTTTTTTAGGGATGAAAATCTTTAAGTAACAGAGATTATCAGCGGCAATGAACTGTCCAGGTCAGTAGACCGTATCGAACCGTCAAGCGTAACCCTTTCCTTTTCGTCCTTCGTTTAATGTTAATCAAGTAAGGTACTGCTAGTTAACTAATAGCGAACTAATCCGAGACACTATAAAAGGATCTTTTGTAAAGTGTAGGACAGTTAACAAAAAAATCCCTTGACTGTTAATGGTAACATGTGTGTGAAAAAAGTCCGAGACAAAGCCTGTTTAAGGTTTCATATTTATCGCTATTATTAAGAACAGAAAAAGGTTCAATACCACATAAGTGACTTACATATATACTTTAGAAGGCAATAATATTTACATAATATGTATAGTATATATATGACTAAAAGTAATCATAAAGAAGCACGTGGAAGCTCACGTGAGTTGTCTGAAATTATCATAAAATCGTAATACTTTTTTATCAAATTATTATAAAAAATTATATTATTCACAACGCTGAAGTATAATTTAAAATCTGGCATTGTGATTCATAGTTGATATGTTTCTTATACATGTAATTTATTATTAAACTAGCTTTTGCACGCGGCTCCGCCCGCGTGTACGTCGGTTATCGCAGTAAAAAGTAGCCTATGTTACTCGCTGATAATGTTGCTTTCTATTGGTTAAAGACAATTCTTTAAAATTGCTTAAGTGGTTTAGGCGTGAAAGCGTAACAGACAAACAAACAAAGTCACTTTCATATTTATGATAAAAGTATGGATGTAAGTATGGATTACATGTGAATTAATTCACATTTAAATACACCCTAGTGAGTGCACTTCTAGCTAAAACACATGCTTCAAGTTGAAATAAGAAATACATACTAAACAACTAATGAATGTTAAGCCTTATCACAATTTATATTACCACAAACACTCTTTATCGACCAATTGTTATATCTGATTCACTTAAATTTCGTGTTTTTAGTCACAAATTGAAAAGTTATCAATATATTGTTCAAAACGTTCATAGAATAAAGTTATAGTATTTAAGTCGTTATGTTACAGCATATTTAGGAGTACCAATATCGAGTAACATTTCATTTTCTGTTATTTCTAATACATCGGAATTACAAAAGTGAACTATTGTGAGTTTCATAAACCCTAGCATCACACTCTCAAGGTTTAACAATCGAAAGAATAATAACGAATCACGTTTCAAAAGCGTGATTTTTAATACTTCCCTCACGTGCTGTAAATTCGGGTCGGTTACAAATTTGCAAAAAGGTATCTCTAAGTAAACGCTAGTTTATTGCAATGAAAAAAAGCGAAATGCCAATATATTAAGATTTATAAAATAGGTTTAAAATACCTAGTACTAACAAGTAATCCCATAAAAAAAAAAATGAAACAGTTCAAAATTCAAACCTTTCCATGACTTTTTTTTCTAATTACCTATAAGATATCAGCATAAGACGTATTGAGTGGCCAGCACGTAGTCTTGACCTCAACGCCATCGAATATGCTTGAGATGATCTCGGACGGTGTGTCAAGCAAAGAAACACGCTACCACTCAGACTTTCTAAGCTTAAATCTACATTGATACAGGAATTGGACAATATATGTAGGTACCTAAAACATCGGCTCCGAAATACAGCTCCAGTTGTACACATCATTTGGACATAATACCAAATGTAACTGAGAAGTGAATTAAAAAAGATATATATAATATATATCTCACATTATTGGTTTATAAATCTTTTTACAGATGCATTTTATTACTTAAACTTTTTAAATAAATTAAATTAAGCACTAATACACACACATCAAAAAAGTCTAAGCAATACGCATTATTTACAGAAGCTGCACGTTATTTTATTTTTCTTAGATATTTAATTTTTTTCTTAGCAAAGTAGATTGGCATACAATCATTTTTGTTCTCGGAAACATAATATATTGGCTGATTTAAAAAATATAAAGTTCGATTGTGTTTTGTTTTCATTAAAATATTTGTGTTCCGATTTCATGTGTTTCATTGCTTGATAAATTTGGTAATGATCTCAGTTTTATCATTTTGAGTATATGTATACAGTTTTTGAAAAAAAAATGAGTGGTGAGACATTTTTTATGTCATGGAGCGACGCCGTTTGACTGCTGATGAAATGCAGAGAGCTGTAGGAATGCTACTAGCGGGCAGAAATCAGTCCCGTAGTTAGGTATCTCTGCATTTTAGTGTCAATAGAAGCGTGATTGTTGTCTTTGGCAGCGTTATGTTAATATAAGGGATCCTGCTGAGCAGCACCTAGGACGTAGAAGGAGTACAATTTCTCGTCAGAATCGATCCGTACAACTGCCTCACTGACTGCAAATTTACAATTCTCTAGCGGTGTTGTTGTTACCCACCAAACCATGGGGAATAGGCTGCATGATACGGCCTACTAGCATATACACCTATACGCCATGGGATTGCCATTGCGCCCATCGAAACGAATGGTGTAGGGAACAGTTGGCAATGAGATAAAATTTTATTTTAAGGTGAGTTAAGTTTGGATTTGGGCCTGATACGAGAAGGCTAAGACTATACCGTCGTCCCGGAAATGCTGAACGGCTGAGATACGTCCAGGAAGTGCACCCTTATAGTGGTTCAACAATGATGGTATGGGCGGGTATTATGAAGGACAGGCGAACTAGGCGAACTTACGTTGAAGATGTCCTCGGGCCTTATGTTTACCTATTTGCACTAAGTAGGTCAAGCAGGTAACATAGGTCAGTTGTTTTTTTAACATTAATATTGTTAAAGGCTTTAATAATTTCAAGGGGTGAAACATATTGGAACTTAAATTGACTATCAAGCCTACCAACATGATCTTTTAAAATTGATTCTACAAGTCATGGCGAGGAGTTCAAAGATTTAGTAGTTGATACAAGAATATGGGTAAAAAGTTCTTAAATGCGGCAGCAACCTCAGGATTTCATGTGCCCACCGGTGTATTAGATAAACAAGAAGATCACCAGCTGAGCAACTGATAGGAGAGATTCCATCGGGCCCACTCGACTTATGAATATCGTTTGAAAAGAGTGCTTTCTGTGTAAACCGGATTTCCGGCATACAGCTCAAGCATCGCGGTATGGTCTGCGGTACGTTTCCCCCGTCATCCAAAGTCGAGTTGGACGCAAAAAGTTCGCCTAGGATATCGGCTTTCTCCTTGGCATCATAGGCCAATGAATCATCGTCCATCTGCAGGGGTGGAAGGGATTGGCTATAAAAATTCCCCTGGACTGCCTTGGCAAGAGACCAGAATGCACGAGTTAAAGAAGGTAGTCTCACGAGTCTCTCACCAATCCGGCTGATGCGCTCCGATTTCGAACTGGCAATGGCTCTTTTGAGGGATATGAAGGCAAAGTTATATTCCTATTTTAGCATGCTGGTGTTTACATAACCTTTCGTCGCTGCATTAGCCCATATTTGGTAACATTCCTGCTTTCGGCAGGACGCCGTTTTGCAGGATCTGTTGAACCAAGGCTTGGATCTGCCAGTAATGGTAATGAGTGTGGATGAAACAAATAGATCATCCGGCAAGAAATAAACCCATCCCATCCCAGTCCGCTGACCTATAGTCCCATATGCGGCGGCAGCCTGCAACTCGCGGCCGCGGCGTGCACATGAGTTGCACCGTACTCCGTATCAGGCAATGATCCGAAGAGCCAAGGGGGCCCCCCTTGGCTTGGCTCAACGATGACTTTATAGCCATCCGGATCAGAGGTCAACAGAAGGTCCAACAGTGAAGGCTCATGACTTTCCACATCTGGAAATCGCGTGGGCGTTGATACCAGTTGTGATAAGCCATAGGTCAGGGCAAAATCGTGAACAGATCTCCCCGCTTAATCGGTTATAGGTGAGCCAAACCGTTAAAGTCGCCAAGAATCACGATCTCTGCGGATGGGATCTGCTACAACATAGAATCTATAGTTATTTGGACGTGGTCCATCAGTCGGTCAGTTTGGATATCACCGCTGTTGGACCTGTAGAGGCATGCACAGACGCAGGGATGGTCGTCGCTGTCTACACGGAGCCACAAAATGGAGAGGTCCCGTCCTTCAACATTGCCGAGGCAGCGAGAATTGATATCATCTCTAACGTAAACGCACACTCCAGCCCTGGAGTTTTCCAGGTAATAGCCAGGGTAGGAGAGGTAGGATGAGTCTGATAGAGATAATATCTGCGTCTCGATTAAAAAGAGCAAGGCCGGCTTCACTGTCGCGAGGTGGTGGTGGACAGCATTAAGGTTGGAGTGTAGACCCCTGATGTTGCAGAAGTCCACGTCAAGCGGGGTGAGGGATGATCTGATGTGCCTGCTCTGGCCGTGGGTAGTTGTCTTGTCTGCAGATATATTATCCAAACATGTGGCAGTGGTCGCAGTGATTCGTGTAGGCTCTAAAAACAAGGTCTTCAGATCGTATGATTGAAATAGTGCTTTGAACTTTGTTACTATACTTGACTTTTCTAATAGGTTAATATTAAAGTCATTACAAATGATGACCTTCTTTTTTGATTTTGTTACTTTAACTAAGAATTCATCCATAACACGTTCAAAAAGCTGAACGGCTTCGGTAAATACATACTACTATGCAACCTTTTTAATTCTATACAGGCTATTTCAGTAGTTCACTCAACTGATAGACTAACAATGACATGGCGCTCTTTAAACTTTAGTTTCTTATTTATGAGTATCATAGTGACCACCTGTACCTCTGCTGAACGAGTTGCCTGAACATGAACTGATCCTATTTAAGCCAATGTTTAGTTATACACAAAATATAAATAGCATTGCAGTTCATCAACAATTCCACCTCCAAGTCTCTGCCCATGATTCTTCAAATATTTTGATGCACCAAAATTGTATTATTATTTTATTATTTCTAATTAATGTACTATGATTGAATTTTGTATAAGTATACAAGTTGATACTGCAAAAGGTAGACTCTATTGTCTTATCAATAAATTTAATTTTTTTGTAATGTCAATGACATTATTTAATAAATTATTCAGACACAGTTTTAACTTTTATTATATCTTAGTATATTCATTAACTTCATCATCATCATCAACAGCCTTTAATAGTCCACTGCTGGACATAGGCCTCCCCTTAGAAAGGAGGTTTTGGCCTACTATTCATTCATTAAACTTAAAGTTTATTATTTTTTTGTTTGACACGATATTTCATGATCATCATCATCATCCTATCGTAGTCCACTGCTGGGCATAGGCCTCTCCTATATATATATAATTTTTCAATCATCAAGCTTGTCCTCACATTTGAAACAATATCAGTTTGTCTATAATATACCTACCATACTTACTAACTTTAGTGCATATTGAAGTAAATTTACAGTTTAATGGTTTTTTAGTAGTTATAGTATATCTTATATGTATATATAGTATATCTTTATATTTAAATATTTAATTATAAACAATTTACAGTTTCTTTAATTCTTAGTTGTTTTATTACCGAATCTTAGAAAAGAATGGAGAACCTAATTTTCTTAATTAAGTTCATTGTGGGTAATCAATTCGATTAATTCTATTTTAAGAAAGTTTGATTACGTTCACATTTAACAAATGTTGCTTTTGAAGTCAAACTACTTTTTCAACTTTGTTCAACTACATAACAATACATACACATTCAATTTTGTTCAACTACATGACATGAATTAATTATCTTCAAGTCAATCTGATCCACTATGGATAGTGCCACACGGAATTTTTTAATTTCTACTAGCATTCCTCCGAGTTTGGGCCCATATGATTTGTTTTAATGAGTCCATTAGATTGGCCTTACTAATGTACTATATTATTAGTATTTTTGAAGTTTTCGTTGTCTTTGATCCTTGTTCAGTTAATCCTTTAAAAAACGTTTTATAAAAACAGTCGAGTTTTTATCTATCAAATTCAAATGATATTTTGAAAAAATATTTTTCCTGTTGACTAGAAACTGATATTATTAAAAGGCAAAAATTTAAAAAAATATGCAAAAGAAAAGAAATACCTACTCAATTACAGAATATTTTTTAACTTCAGGAAGTGGATGCGCACTGCTCTACGCAATCGCTTGCAAGCGCCAGATTTACAATTATTTAGCATTATGAATACTGTGGTGTATAGAGCACGCCAATATATAACCATGTACGGTTCGGACTGTAAGAAATAGATCTGTCTTGAGAATACGTGTTTATTGTCACAGGTTTACATTCTGACTAAATTAATACTCGTACATGGTTATATATTGGCGTGCTCTATACGCCACAATACTGTATATAGTACAATCACACGTTTGAATGTTGTTTTTACTTGTGGGAACACTTATGGGCTGTTAACCTACTGGGGCTATGGGAAAGGGCGTAGGTCGGACTGAGATTGACTAAAACCACCCGGCGTTCCTAAAATATACTGCGCCTAAAATAGAAGGATCCTCGATGCTGCCACGGTATGTCCTCAATAGCACAATAGGTACTCCTATTTAACTAGTAAGCTATGTTGTGATTACTTCAATAATTACTATGTAATTAAAAATTTAATGTATAACTAAGTGTAATTTAAATCTCTGTAGAGCTAATATGTGTTAATTACCATAATATTTAAATTTAAAAAATGTAATACGTTTAACTCGAAATAAACTCAAGAAGAACATTAATACCATAATAGTATACTAGTAGAGCATGGACGACTGCAATTTTGGGCTTGTTAACATATTTATTAGCATTTACTAAGTAATAAAAAGTTATCATATACAGAATCTGATTTAGTTATTAGATATGGATTGTAATCTTAATTTTGTATTTAAGTTCTTTTCAAACCTTAATTAGTATTCAATTTAAAATTAAAACTAAAATGCTAAATTATATTTTGATACAGCATTTACAGAAGTAGCGCAGAAGTATACACAGCAAACGAATACCAGGCCAGGTAGTACGTAGATTTAAATGAACTATTACTAGAGAAATTATAAATATTAATGCAGAATGGTTTTGAAAAAGTAATAATTTGCAAAAAAATTACTGAAGGAACGAGCTATTTAAAATTCACACAAATCACATATAAACGTATAATAACCGGAATTAAACACCCATGTTAACCTGACCGGAATATTTCATTTGCCGTGTCTACGTACTTGTGTTATAGTCGGAATTTACTCGTATTTTGCTATCCTGCAAGCAGTTAAGAAACTCTGAAAACCCATTTTTTTAATAATATAATCTGAATTAAACCACTTTTCCACTTCACTTCGAAATTCTACTTCGGCAAAACTGTCTTTTCTAAAGGTCGCTTAACTTCATAACGAAAAAATAATATATTAAAAGTGCTGTTTGGTATATAAACGTACAGCATATAAAGTAAAGATCCTTAAGAAAAGGATGTAGCTACATCCTGTCCATCCGCACACAGACTAACAATAATTGAATTGAATGGGAACTGAACACCTGTGTAATTTAATTTCCCATTACATTGTCGTATAAGGAATGTTCAAGTCCTTGTGGTATCACACAAGTTAAAATGTTTTTTATGCTTCTACTTAACTACATATCTATATATTGTGGTAGTACTCGTAGACTAGTGCTTCGTTTCTAATCAACGCAAAAATTGTTTAATTGTACGTCAGATCTCTTGTCAAGTATCATCTTATCATTTAACAGAATCTGCAAATTAATTCTAAATTTTTCATATCAAATTAAAATTCAGAGAGCTTAAACATTTAAAACAAGGTTTTAGGCACTCAAACTGATTTGATACTTCTGTTAACGTACAGCTCTGTTAGTTGAACGATATTTTGATAAACCTTTCAGAAGTCCGATTTGATACTGTAAACTATAAACATTTATTATATTAGCGTATTTTAGAATAAGACTTTTTAAATGAATACGTTTTGGAAAAAATATATTTTACTCCTAAAAATATAACAAAAAAGTTTAAATAGCTAAAAACCAAAATTTTCTATGACAAACATAACTTTTTTTTTGTGTGGAAACCCCCACGGATCATTAACTCACCAGAGTTCACAGTGAAGTAGTATTTTTTTGCATTTTGACTCGGGTATACCCTAGGTAGGCAGTTTCCGAGAATTCTGGCAGACCTTGGCCGCTATTGGCAGCCAAGGTCTACACCATCGAGTACAGACCGCCACCGCCTCTGCTTCTGCTAGGGCATCAGCTAGCCTCACCGTTGCCCCCAAGCCAGCGCTCATGGATGGCGGAGATCGTTATGCGCTCTTCGGCACCTGGTGCCACTTTTTGAGACGGGAGAGCACTAGCCCTCTCCTATTCCCACCGCCTCTTTAGTGGACATAACTTCTACTAGAGTGTGGAGTGAGGTCACTCAGACGTTGGTTCTCGGGCCTATACGGCACACACACTATACTTTCCGAATTAGCCGTGGCGTAGAATTAGTAACTGTGTCAGTAGGCAGGAGAGGCTGCCATGATGCTTCTCGAAATAAACAAAACTAGAAAGTGGACTTTATTTTCTAATTTTGATGTTATGATATTATTAAATGTGATCTGCGCTCCACAACGCAAATATAAATTGCCAAGAGATTCTGTTGAAAAGGCGATTGCTAAAAATAACTGACATATTATGCGAAGATAATAATAAAGACTTGAAAATTTTAAGTTTATAAAGCCGTTTGACATTTAATTACACCATTACTGCTAAACAGATTTAAATTAAATTTTGAATTTTAACACTTCGATGAAACCGAGAAACAATATAATAATACTGCTACTCAAATTTTATTTATAACTATTTCTGCAAGAACTGTCATAGGTATAGAGTATTTCTTTGTCTCTAACATGTTACGATGTATTTTTAAATGTTCATACCTCCTTTCTGACGATGCCGTTGACGATGACACCAACGTACTCTCCATCCTCATCAACTGCTGCTACAGACACTCCGTCTTCTAGTGAACTAGCTACATACTCTTCGAGTTCTGAGCATACCGACTCTGGTGTTTCTAATAAGTTCACTGCCAAGTTCATAGGTTCGTCCCGGAAAAAGAACCTGTTAAAAACGCGTTTATTAATTTACAAACACAAAATAAACGTCTACTAAATGCAGACTACGATAAAAAAATATGTTTTTAAGTAAATGTGTACGAGTATTCACTAGGTATAAATGGTGTGTCACGGGGGACTTTACAAACCTATATGAAACGGACACAAAGAACACCCTGACTCAGAACAACAATTTGTCGATCATACAAAGTGTTGTCCACGTGGGGATCGAACCCACAATACTTCAGCGCAGTAGGAAGCGGCGAAGTGACCGCTTAAACCACTACGCCATCCGTCATGCAGTCATTAAATATTTATAATATATTGTGATTTATATTAATAATCACTACTCATATTAGATACAGGATCTTATAAAAGACATAGACAAAAGTATACAGTTTAAACTGAAAGTATTATCATCAATAGCCTTTAGTAGTCCGCTGCCTCTTAGGCCTCTTCTTAGAAATACGGTTTTGGCATGCTATGTAACGCTGGCCAGACTTTGTTTCAAGTTTTCCTTCTCTGTTGTTCTGCGTAGTTTGCTTTTGTGGGCGGCCCATACGACAATCACGAGATGAAATAAAAGGATAGGTTTTGAAATTGTCTAAATTGAGCTTGATGTCTAAGCTTGACGACCCATATAGGCAGGGAATTCAAAGTCAGCGATCGCGGGTCTGATTCTCGTTTAGTTAAATATATGAACTCGTCTAGATGTTTCTGTATAAAATGAACAAGTATTCATATATATTAATACGTTTAACTATGTTCTAGACACCATAGTACAAGACACGTACAAGCTGTACTTAGTTTTGACGAAGATTGCCGAACATTAAAAAAAAATTAACTATACGCATTATTGTTTCTTGTTTGTCTGTTTAAATTTAGTATTCAATTATAGTAAGGCGTAAAGGGTGTCTCAGTAAGAGTGCACTTTTTCATTTTAAAATCATCATCATCATCATCATCAGCCTATCGCAGTCCACTGCTGGACATAGGCCTCTCCCATTGCACGCCACTTAGATTGATTTTGGGCTTAAAATAAAAACAAAACATTTTTTTTTTTTTTTATTTATTTATTTAAGGTCGCTTTTTAACATCTCAGGTCATTAGCGACCACAATTGACAATAGGTATACATATATAATCACACTGTAGTTTACACTAGGTTATAGACATTGATCATTTTCCGAAAACTTAAAGTTTGCATTCATCTATTTTGATTTAAACAGTCTTGTAAATTATTTGGAATGTTACATAACGTTTTCACAATACAATAAGCTATGCATTTTTCTAATAAATGCTTAACAGTTACATCTAGTCCACACTTGCATTTATTTCTTTCGGTTTTAGTAATTATATGAAGATGTGTCATATTTGAGTGTACGATACGTAGACGGGTGATACCCGTCTACGTATCACTTGATCTTTTCTACAAGTAAAATTATTGGGTGATTTATCAAAAATAGACTTCCTTATACTATATAACTTTGATGTATTTTCTGTTTTCCAATACTCATCCCAAGTAGATTTAATTTTATGTTTGAGGTATTTTTGTAGTTCGTCTGGAGTTGATTTATTTGTATGCCAATTTTCGATTTCATTTATTGCTTGCCTCGCTTCATGATCTGCTTTTTCATTACCAACTATCCCTTGATGACTTGGAATCCAAATAATTTCAAATTTGTAGTTATTTTTAAGTAGGTTTATAATTTTTTGTTTAATTTCTATAACTAGGGTATTTGTGTTATTTGTACTTTGTAACGCTGTTAAGCATGATTTAGAGTCAGTATATATTATATATTTATCTGTATTAATATCACTACTTATTAGTTCCAAGGCTTTAAGGATTGCTATTGCTTCGCAACTAAAAATTGTATTAAAATCTCCAAGTCTATAACGGTAACAATTATTCCCATATACTATTGAACATCCTGATTTTCCGTCCTTAACTGACCCGTCCGTATAAAAAATCTTACAATCTGTGTACCTACTATTAATTTCTAAGAATAGGGTTTTGTACATGTATTGAGGAGTATCTTCCTTGTGGTTTTTTGATAATTCGAGGTTGATGGGCCAATCTAAGCTTTCCCATGGGCCAATCGAAAGCAATTTCTTCGTAAAAAAATTTGGAATCTTGAAATTAATTTCCTTTAAATATTTAGTTGCTCTTATTCTGAAGGGTCGCGGTAAATGGGATCGAAGTTCATATTCCGTGTCTGCAGCTGTTATTTTAGTGTAAATATAATAAGTTGGGTTTTCAGGTTGAGATGATATATTAATAGCATATCTTATAACCATTTCCTTTCTTCTAAATTCTAACGGCATTTCTCCAGCTTCAGCTAAAATACTATTAATCGGACTTGTTTTAAATGCACCAATACTCAATCTAAGGGCAGTATTTTGAATGCTTTCGAGAGAATTGAGTGTTCGTTTTTTTGCTGAGTCATAAACTACGCATCCATAATCTATTTTTTGTCTTATCAAAGCACGATATGTGTTTATAAGACATTTTCTGTGAGATCCCCATGATGTCGACGACAGAATTTTAATAACATTTAACCTTTTATAGCACTCAGATTTAAGTTCATTTATGTGTGGAATCCATGACATCTTTCTATCGAATGTTAATCCTAGAATTTTCATTTTGTTAACTTCTTTAATATTGTGTTCATTTAAAGTCAGCTGTGCATTTTTTGATTTAATTCTTTTACTAGACATGACCATGAATTCTGATTTAGTTTTTGAAAATTTAAAGCCTGATTTCTTTGACCATTCCTCAAGGACTCCCAGTGTATTCTGTATAAGTTTTAATGTTGGTTGCAACGATCTACCGCTACAAGTTAGTGTTAGGTCATCAGCGAAAAGAAACGCTTTTACCGGTTTATCAATAAGTGGAAGAATGTCGTTAATAGCTAGCAAAAATAGAATAACACTAAGTACCGAGCCTTGAGGTAGACCATTTTCTGTACGAACTGGGTTAGATGTTGTATCATTGATTCTTACTTTTATTGTCCTATCTGAAAGGAAGTTTCTAATGAACGCCAGAGCATTTCCTTTAATATTGATGTCTTGTAATAATTTTAGTAACCTGTGTTTCCAAACCATTTCATAAGCTTTCTCAATATCTAATGCTACAATCACTGTATAAATATCATTAGCAAATCCATCCAGTATGTCACTTTCTATATTCACTAAATGGTCTATTGTGGATCGAAACTGGCGAAATCCATACTGAAATGGTGACAAGTATTTATTTATTTCTACGTACCATCTAATTCTTTTACTGATAATTTTCTCTAATATTTTACATAGATTACATGTTAAAGATATCGGTCTATAGCTAGTTCGTGAACTTGAAATCTTTTGTGGTTTTAATATTGGAACTACTAAAGCTTCTTTCCAATTGTCCGGAAATACATGATCCTTATATATATGGTTATATAGTTGAAGTAAATATTTAAGTCCTGTCATTGGCAAATGTTTAATTAAAATATTCGGTATATTATCTGGTCCTGGGCTAGAATTACCAATTTGTGAAAGTATTGAAATTAATTCGTGCATTGATATTTCTTTATTGATTGGGTTGGAATTGTCGGATGTCTCGAGATTTGAATCGGTCTCTTGTCTAATTTTATATTCAATAAATAAATCATTATAGTTATTAGAACTAGAATTAGTTGCAAAAGATTCAGCTAAAAGGTTTGAGGTTTCAATAGGGTTAGATGTAAACATACCGTCATTTTGTTCTAGTACAATTTGGTTGAATCTAGTGTTGCGGTGATTTAGTTTCTGAATCTTGTTCCACATATCCCTAACAGGGGTTTTGTTAGTAATAGATGACACCCAATTTTCCCAATATCTTTTTTTATTTTCTTTAATAAGTCTCCTATAGTAAGCTCTCTTCTTCTTATAATTGATTTTATAAGTCGAATTGGGGTCATCTCTAGCATATCGTTTAAAGAGTTTTAGCGCCTTTTTTGTTTCTCGAATTGCAATATTACAGTCCTCGTTCCACCATGGTAAATTATGTTTTCTTAAGATACCAGATGTTTTAGGTATTGAATTATCAGCAGCCTTAAGAATGACTTCAGTGAATTTATCAACCACCACATTAATAGAAGAATCTATAAATTGATTTACTGGTACTAATTCTGTTATATTTAGATCAAGTATTCCCGAAACATGTTCCAATCTGCTTTATCAAACTTCCATTTCTTAGGCACTCTAATATCGTTTGATACATTAGAATTAAAATTAGATGTAATGAAAATGGGGAAATGGTCACTATCATACAAATCGTCCAGGGCGTTCCATTCAAAATATGACGTTATATTTTGTGAAGCCAAGGTAAGATCTATATTACTTGTCAGACCCGTATGGCTATTAAAACGAGTAGGTTGTCCGTTATTTAATAGAAATAAATTATCAAGTTCGTCAAGCCATTCTGCTATTAACTTACCCCTAGAATCACATTTATCTGAACCCCAATAAAAGTGATGGCTATTGAAATCGCCTAAAATTATCACAGGAGATGGAAGCTGACTAATGAGATTATTTAATTGCTGTTTATCAAGAGTACTACTATTTGGTAGGTAAACGTTACATAATGTAATAGATAGTGGGAATTTTATGTTTATTGCAACTGCTTCTAAATTTGTGTTTAAAACTATTTCTTCTGGAATCGTATGAGACTTAATATAAATAGCCACTCCACCACTAGCCCTATCACCTTGCAACCGATTTTTGTAAAATTGTTTGTATCCTGTTAAAGAAGCGCATTTATTAAAAGTAAAATTTGTTTCCTGTAGACAAATGCAAGTGGGACATAATTTACTTATTAATAATTTGATATTTTCAATTCGTTTATAGTAACCATTAACATTCCATTGTAATATATCCATATTAACTAATAATAACGTATCTTTAAAATAATATGTAGTAGTAAAAAATTAAGTTAACTTTTAAATTATTGATCTATGTCCGTTGTAACAATAGGTGTGGGAGATATTAATATTTCATGTAATTTCCTTGACAGACGTGAACATCTATTTTTTTGGCTTTTGTTCATCTTACAGTGTAATTTGTTACACATTTTAATAAGGTCCTTAATGTTATCTGTATAAGAATATACTAATTCTTTTATATTTTGTTTTCCTCGTGTATTATCTAATAAGCTAATGAATTGGTCTAAATTAATAGGGAATGTATTTTCGTTGTTTAACGTGGATAATTCTTTTTCAATATTTGTCCAAATTTCTTCTTCAGTTCTAGGGTCAGACTTTTTTAGTTTCTTTTTTGTTTTTGTTTTGGTTTCCAGATCTTCCAATGATATATTACTGCCTGTTTCATCAGATTCAAATTCCATTCTGTCAGACTCCTCTTCTTGTGTGTGTTGTTTTATAATATTTATTTTTGAGGATTCAGTAGTCGTTAGTGAATGTGTTCTTTTTACTCCTTTTGGGTTCATCTGAGATGGTTGTGAGAAGCCTTGATTTACTGGGGTACATTTAGGGTCATCCTGAGGGTGGGTAACAATTAAATCATCGCATCTATCGAATATATCAATAATTTCTTTTGCTGTTTGTTTTTCCATTTCACGGGGGTAGTCTTGAATATTTTTTATATTTTGTGGGCAATTTTTAGCTAAATGCCCCAGTGTATTACAAGTAAAACATTTTAGAGCATCAGTAGATGTATAGATCCAGTAATTAGTGCCTTCGAATGTAATTTGAAATGTTTCTGGCAGACGTGCCACATCGTCTGGGCTAATATATAATTGTCTTCTAAAACTTAAGATGTGGGAAAAGCCTGGGTCGCTAACACCTATTTTCATAAATGTTAGTGGCGACATTATTTTTATATTTAATTCTTCAAATCGTTTTTCAATTATATAATTTGGAATAACGGGACAAACATTTGATAAGACGATCCTTTTATTTCTTGTAACTAAAGATTTTATTTCAAGAATATTACTTTTGATAGTTAGCTTTTTCTTTTCTTCGACAAGGTTATCGGCGGTTTTTTTCGAGTCCATATAAATACATATTCGAGCATTCGATATTCGAGATATAAATCGTATAGACGTTGCAGGAATAATTGACGATAATGCAATGAGGTACTCCCTGAGTGTTATACCGTCAATGGAGTCCAGTACGATGGCTTGGTCTTTCTTGGGAAAACAAGTAGATGAAGTAACATTTGCATAACTTGACGTATTGGGTGTTTCTTGAGACATTGTGGTTGGTTGGTACACTGGGGGATTTTGAGACGTTGAGGGTCCAAACATTATTTTATAAGGGGGCTCCTGTTGCCAGGAGTTACCCTATTAACGAAAAAAAAAAATCAAAACAAATATTAAGATTCACGTGTCGCGTAGTGAATATTGGATTCAATAGCGGGTCGGACGGAGTGAGTCACGCGCGTCCGCTGTGACCGCCAGCGCGGAACTGAACAAAACACTTATTTGATGAAAGAGTTGTAATATTTTTATTGGATTGTAAAGTAGACATGTTCCGATTAAGTATGGAATAAATGTAAAAATATCCGTCAAATGGCCCCAAACGGCTCTGATGACAGGCCATTACCCTTTACATTAAATTTTCCATGACTTTTACATAGAGATGTGGCTGTATCTCACCGATGACGCGTTGGATCTCGTATTTGAGCTCAGGAATTGTTTCTGATTTATTCGTGATTAACCCGAAGATAAACCCGAGATTTCACAACCCCAAAGAAAACAATCGGACGAGCTTGGTGGCCAGTTGACATCAGAATTTCGTGAGATAATGTGTTTTGGAAATCGTTGCTGCAATAAGTCGATTGTTTCATGCGTGGTGTGGCAGATGGCGCCGTTCTGCTGAAACCACATGTTGTCCAGATCCAGCCGTCCAGTTGAAGGCACAATAACTCTGTTATCATATTCCTGCAAATGCCGTTCACAGTTACTGTAACTTTGGCCTCATCTTCAAAAAAGTAAGGCCCAATCACGCCGCCTGACCAAAATCCGCACCAGACAGTTGCTCGTTGTGGGTGCATTTGTTTTTCATGGATTGCATACGGATTTTCTGAGCCCCAAATTTGTCAATTTTGTGTATTTCACGTAGTTTTCAGATGGAAATGCACTTCATCGGAGAAGATGACTTTTTTTGAAAAATTGGCATCGATTTCATTTCGCTCCATTACCCATTGAATGAATTGCCGGCGCTTTCCATTGTCTGCTGGTTTGAGCTCCTAAGTTAGCTCATCTTGTACGCATGAAGGTCTATTGTTTAAATTCGCTACGTAGTGCTTAGTGAAATTTGAAGTTGTTGAGAACGTTGCCGAATTGATGTTTTGGGGTTTTCGGCGATACTCTCGTTTACAGCAGCAATGTTTTCAAGAGACTGACCGGTACGTTGACGCAAAGGATTCTTAATATCCATAATCGACTCCATTTCTTCAAATTTTTTGACCACTTTTCGAATGGTTGACACATTAGGTGCACTTTCTCGACTGAAATTTTTTCAAAGTTTGCGAGTGGTGCCAGCGTTTTTGTAATTTTAATATACGGAATAAACATAGGTGAGAGCTATCAAACTTTAGAGTTGCCACTAGCACGAAAAAAAAAACATTCTAAATTTAAAAGTGCACTCTTACTGAGACATTATTTTCAATGTCATGAATCAGTGCATTAGTGAAAACATATTAAGAAAGTCTTCATGTCATGCAAGGGTAGTAGAGATGGTCCAATATGTCACTACGGACTTACCTTCTCAAAAACTTAAGCATTCGCTGTTTATCGTTAAGGTTGTCTGTGATAGTGCAGATGGTGTAGGAGGGCTGCGACATACTCCGCAGATTGAGTTCCGACAGTTGCGACGGCAGCTCGTCGGCGAGCTAGAAATAAAGAAAAATCGATCTAAGCCTTGTTTTCTCTATTAACAGACATTTAGAATCAGGAGGGCCATTTTCATAATAAAAAAAATCATCTGCAAGTCGTCATTAGATTTAGAATACTTAATGTCGGTATCCAGTATCCTCACACTGGATACCAAACTTACTAATTGTCTTGGTTTCGCATAGTCATACCTTATTATGTAGGTAAGTAGGAAAGGTGAGAAAGAATACTTACGTTTTCATATATCTGGATGTAGTCTGATTCATGCTGAATGGACTGTAAATATCTACGAAAAGATCGAGCACAAAATATCTGTGGAAAAAGTTACCTATCGTCTGCAGTATATCAATCAATATTAATATCAATGCTAGTTAGCATTTCTAAGAAGTACAGTTATAGTAAAGGTAACAAGTTAAGTTAATATTAGGTGTATAGCGATTTGACAGTGAAGGTTAGTTTATGAGTAATTGACGTTACCGTTATTCAATATAAATGATGGTTTTTAATAGAAAATAGGGCAAGTAACGCAGATGTAGTAATATTAATTTGTGTATAGTAGTTTTAAATAAGTATAAATATAAATAATTCAAAGTACAATTGTTAGAGAACACATTGTGTTTCGCCAGAGGTTATGGAATGCCAAGGTGTGGAGCCTAGATCTAAATGGATAAACGGTTTTACGACAGCCTTGTCTTTACGGAGATTTAATTACGATACAAATTTATTGTTTTCTTTGCATTTCAAACAAATTGTTTTATAGTAAATAATAATTATACTTATACTAAATAATAATTAATAAAATCTAAATATTAATAAGTGTAGAATATTCCTTGTGTCCGTTTGGATTGAGGAGCCACTTTTCATATCTTAATAAAATTAATATTATTATTTAGTAGTAAATTAAAAGTAGTATTTTAATACTTTAAAATTGTATTGTAGTATTATACTTTAAAAGTTATATGAAGATAAAGAAAACAACACAAACACACAAAATCACACTACTCCATTACAGTAAATGCTATGTACACGTTAATTGTCATACATATCAGGTAATGGAACATATTGTCAAAACTAGTTATAAATATAATATGTAAGATGTGGTAGTACTTATTAATAAATAAATAAATAAATAAATCTGAGCTCGGTAATGTTAAAATGAAGAACGTTACCATTCATTATATATGTGGCCCCTCAGACCGACTGTCATTTTTCAAAGAATCATTCTTCATCATTTAGTAGTAAGTATATTAAAGTAGTGTAAAGAGTCAGTAATTAAAAATGAGTAAATACGGAGATATGACACATTTTAACTGGCTCCTCAATTAAGATGCTTCGGTAAATAGATTTGACTCTAATATACCTATAGAAGGATCTAATTGTAAGGAAATTTGGAACATAAAACATCTATATTTTGTATAAATTTATACTAACTGTATGTATAATCCTATCACAAGAAAGTACAATATCTACGAACTTATTAGCTATTCTTTAATTTCCTAACATTTTGATTCGTAGGGTGTCCATGAATAACTCATATAAAAGGTACTTTTTCGTTCTTTTTCGTACACAAATCTATTTTATTTTATTTCATCTATGATTCTCAATGTAAATATGTGGAAGCACCGACTAACCAATATTATTTTAATGTAAAACTTGTGTCCAAATGGATAATATACAAATAAATACTTATAGCTGAAGATTTTCTATACATTCCTGTATTTCGATAATTTTCGATTTGTTGAAAATTAAACTTCAAAAACTATTCCTTGTGATTTAAAATTTTGACATGGTCACCCTTAATAGCGAATTCATAGGGAATATTAAAAAGTAATTTATGGAATATGGTGGAATATAAATTTTGACCTATTACTTTCATGGCAATTCACGCTCTTAAATATAGATTGAGGAGGCACATTAAAATTATTGTATATTCTTGAATATCAACAGTACTGAATTTAGAATTTTAGTAGGCACTATACACAATTACTACTAAATCATATATTTTTTTTCATAAATATTTTCAGGTGGCTCCTCAATTCAGATGTTTAGATTGAGGAGCTACGTTTACATTGATATAACTTTGGATATATCGTACTTCAGATTTCAGAATTTTTCCTATTAAATTATTTGCTAACCTACTAATATGTGGTGAGTTTCCGTATAAAATCTAAAGTGGCTCCTCAATCCATATGGACACAATTCTTTGTATCTCTTATATTTCGATTAGGTAATTTATTGATGGTGGATTTAATTAGGTATTGATGTGTAGAAATGGGGGCTATGGGGGGGGGGGGGGAAATGCGGGCTACACATAGCTTTAGGAGTCAAGTATGTATTTTGACCTTTCAAGTTATACTGGTCAATCCATACTGGATTGACCAGTATAACTTGAAAGGTCAAAATATACTAACTTTAAATTTATTAAATTTGAAATTATGGATGTATAGATTTACTTTTTCCCGTGGGTTACGGGACGGGGTATTTATAAAACCGACAAATCTCGAGATGTTGAAACAAACACTTACATAACATACTAGCACTACTAATAATATTATAAATGCGAAAGTGTGTCTGCCTGCCTGTCTGGTACCTCCTCACGCTTATACCGCTTAACCGATTTAGATAGTTTGAGTTGTGGAGAAGAAAATATAATAGTTTTTATCTCCGAAATCACCCCTTAAGGGTATAAAACATTATAAATGCGAAAGTAACTTTGTCTGCAACGCTTTCACGCCTAAACCGTTGAATGAAATTGGTCATGGAGATACTTTGATTCTTGAGGAGGGATATAGGCTACTTTATCAACAGACAAAGCTAGTAAATTTTTACAAGACATGTTTGGCAATCTCAATGTTTGGTTTTGATTTTAACACGCATTTCTTTTTGCAGATTAGTTAAATCATGAGGCACCCATTTTTCATTTTTTTTGATATTATTGATTTGATACAAATGGGTCAATATTGTAGGTAGGGTAACGTTAAACCATGCCGATAATTCCTCTGTACTTTGACTCGGATCGGCTTCTACCATCTCCTTCATTTCAGCGTTATTCACCTGCATGGGCGGTCTTCCACGTGGTTCGTTAAAATCACAAAAAAATATCCACTCGCCTGTGTAAAACAGCAACAAAATGCATAAATGCGAATGTTAAGCATTCGAATGTAAATACAAGATGGTGCATAAGCATAGAACTAATATTTATTAATAATGGTTCAATTCGATGACATTGACTCTATTAGAATTTCCAAAGCAATCGTATGTTCTCCTCAAAACTTAATAAGTCATATAAATAATAATAATAATAATATTGTATCACATTCACACAACGCCATCTAGTCCCAAACTAAGCAGAGCTTGTACTATGGGTACTAGGCAACTGATATAAATACATATATACTTTTTTTTTGTAAATACATACTTATTATACATAGAAACACCCAGACCAAATCAAACATTAAATGTTCACGCACACAAATGTTTGACTTGAGCGGGAATCGAACCCGCGACCTTTCGAATAGCAGTCCGTTACACAAACCACTACGCCATTCGGTCGTCTATACTAACTATATTGCATACTAATATTCGTAGTATTAACTGTAACTTCGATGCCTTAATTATTTTCTTAGATAGAATTAGTACTGACAGAGTGTTGGCTCAGTAAAACTACTATTATTCCGGTAATTACTGGCTATACGTCGTATTCTTCTGACTACTATAATCAAAACGACGGCGTGTTATTATAGACATGAGACATAGTGTGACTATTCCCCCAATTAATGATGCCAACTTCATAGTCCTTGAGTGTGATGATGAATACGCTGTAGTAGCTATCTATCGCTCACCGTTATACAAAAATATCAAAAGATTTTGCGATTTCCTGGATCAGTGCCTCATATCCTTAAATTCGATTAAGTCAGTAACTATAATATGTGACATTAATATATCCCCAAGTAATAGCGACGTCAACAGCTTTAAATATCTAGATCTGATGGCTTTTCATGGTTTCCTACCCGCGCACCAACTCCCCACTCGTAATGATAGTTTCATGCTAATAAAATATATCCACAAAAATGCTGCAAATAACATATATCCACTACGATTAAATAATCTAAAAACTGTTATCATACGCTGGTTCAAAACGTGTAACGTGTGTAACTTATATATAATTGAAAATTTTAAGTAATCATGTAGTCTCGTGTAAAACAAATAATTTAATAATCACATACACACACCCACACAGCAACACACATACACACCCACACACACACACACAGAGAGAGAGGCAAACATACACATTCACACACACACACACACACAGAGAAAGAGAGACAAACACACACAGAAACACGCAAAAACAAATAACATCATCACTTGTGGTAAATAGGCACAAATTTTATTATTTTTTATAATTTAACGAATTCACCCGTTGTTATTCGTTGATAATTAGATATTCGCATTTTTTAAATTATTACTTTTTTCTTAGAAGTGCCTTCAAAATTTATTCAGATTTAAATATATTATACATTCATATTTTTATTATAATTCTACTGTATTACATCCTATTTTTTATTACTAACTTAAAATTTTATTATAAGCTAAATGCATTCCATTCTAATTTTATGTCTTCTCTGCAATTTATTGTTATGTTAAAGTTTGTGGGCATATGTTTTGCAATATAAAACAGAAATTCATAAATGTCTTTCCGGTTGGGTGGAAGGCGCTGACGACTGTAACACAATTTATATTAGTACGGTCGTCAACGGCAACCTCTTATCTATTTTACACAATTTTACGATATTTGATATATTTGTCTTACTAATATGTACTCCATTATGCATGCACGTGTATTGTAATGCAACATTGTAAATATGGTAATAAAGAATAATAAAATAAAAAAATATTGTCTGTAAAACTCATTAACTATTTTCGCAGTCTAGTACACAGTGTTTAATTATTATTTAAGCGAATAAAAGTTTACATGAAACGGACACAAATGACA